GAAACATGGAGGCTGCTTGGAAAGACGGTTTAATGGTGGACAGGACCACATGGCTTGAGCTCTTGAATAGAAAAAGAGGATCAGATGCTTCCAGATGTTGGGTGAAGAAGAAGAAAAGAGAAGGGGCTTGCTAAGAGTCCCTGAGTTTTTTTTATACTTTCTGTTTGGCCCCATCTCTCTGTTTCCTGTTCCCGTGTAAGAAATGAATTCTGATTGGTTGTCAGACTCCCATAGGGCCATGCAGCGGCAACTTCTAGGCTGCGTTTTGAGTCCAGGTTTGGTTGAGCGTTGCTTCTTCCCAGGTGCCTTGTAGTGAGATGGCTAAAGGACGGAATACTATCATGCCTTAATCCCATAGCCCTGGAGCTGAATGGGGGAGCTCTTTGTTATGTAGAGTAGACTCACTTAGGCCTTTTAATGGCCCATTGACAAAGGTGGGGGCTATTAAGAGTGAGCCTGCTTCCTCCCTAAAAACATGTTTCTGATCCAGGGTATATAATATTTTGCCTTTTCAATATTTCCCAGGATATTTCATTTTTCTAGGAGAGGGCTGGGTTTTACCTTCCTACAGTCCTGTGTCGGATCTTGGGTGAGGGGCTGCTTGTTCTAATCCTATCATTCTGCTTTTCTTAGCTGTCAAACTTCCCTACAACGAGATTCGAAAGAAGTGGGGTTAAAAAAACCCCCTATATGCAACAAATAGTGGGAAAAAAAATAACTAGATAGAACCATCAAAAAAGCCTGATTTCAAGGTTTTTCCTGCGGACCCAGCAGGACCCAGTTCTGCTTGCTTTTTCCACTATTTTCTGGGTGCGCAGAAAAAAATAACCAGCCATTTTTTTTTTGATGGTTCGGGTTGCTTTTCCCATGTATTCGCTGCTTGCAGGATTCTCTTGCATGCTCTTCAATGCAAGATTCAGGATTCTCTCCGCAGGCCATGCTGCAAGAACAGGCGCCGTTCCGCCTGGATCCGCCAGGGGCACCCGCGCTCCAGGCCCGCCCGCGCCGCCAGATAAAGGAGACTCTCTGGGCTCCGGGCGGAAGTCGGAAAAAGGGAGGCGGCGCGCGTGCGCGCACAGGCTGGCGTCGGACTTCCGGCAGCCTGAGCGAGGCCGAGGGGGGCAGGGGCTCTCCCTCACCCTCCCCACACTCTTTTTTTAAAAAAATAAGTAACTTGCCGAGGAGAGAAAACGCTTTCCGGATTGACCCTCTCCGGCCGCCGTGCCTCGGTTTTCCTGTGCGGGGAGGGGAGGGAGGAGCGGGAGGCGGCGGCGGCGGCAGCGCCATGGCTGACGCGGCGGCGGCCGCGACCCTTTCCGAGTCCGGCTGGTAAGTTACCCGAGGCCGAAAGGTCTCCGTGGCCGATTGGGGAGGCTGTCGGACGGACGGTTCGCTCTCCGGACGGCCGCTGCCTTGGTTCCGTGGTCGCGAGGGCCGCTGCTCGCTGGGGAGTGAGGGGGGGGGCGAGCGGGAGGTCAGCGAAGTTAAGCAGGGTCGGCTCTGGCCCGTCCTTGGATGGGCGACCGCGATGAAAGGCCGCCTCCCTCCCTGAGGGTGCGTGTGTGTTGTGTTTTTATACACACAAAACCCTCCCAAACAATGTGTGTTGTGCTTCTGGGCCGTTTCTGATTTCTCCCATTAGTTGCATCCCAGAAAGCCTTGCAGTGGAACATGGGCGACAAGAGGCCATCGGTTGCATCCTGGGGATGGGGAAGGGAGACCACGGGGAGATACCAGGGAGGAAGAAGGCAGGACAGGATAATAAAATATAATGACAGAGCCAAATGTGTGTTAACGTGGGTTGAGCTCTTTCAAATTGTGTTGCATTTAAAATATAATATAACATAGCCAAATGCTTGTTAATGTGGGTCTCGCCCTTTCCAGTTGTGTTGCACTTTAATATAATATATAATAATACAATATAGCCAACTGTGTGTTAATGTGTGTTGAGTTTTATAAAATATACTAGAGCCAAATGCATGTTAATGGGGGTTGCGCTCTTTCAAATTGTGTTGCATCTAATATAATATAAAATATAATATAGCCAAATGTTTGTTAATGTGGGTGGCACCCTTTCCAGTTGTGTTGCATTTTAATATAACATATAATAATATGATATAGCCGAATGCGTGTTAATGTGTGTTGTGTTTTATAAACTATACTAGAGCCAAATGCCTGTTAATGAGGGTTGCGCTCTTTGCATTTAATATAATATAAAATATAATATAATGTAGCCAAATGCTTGTTAATGTGGGTGGCATCCTTTCCAGTTGTGTTGTATTGTATTTTAATATAACATATAATAATATGATATAGCCAAATGCGTGTTAATGTGTGTTGTGTTTTATATAATATACTAGAGTCAAGTGCACATTAATGTGTGTTGCACTATTTCCAGTTGTGTTGCATATAGTAATATAAATATAATATAATTCATACAATATAATACAATACAATACAATAACACTAGAGCCAAATGCATGTTAGTGTGGATTGCACTCTTTTAAATTGTGTTGCATATACTATAATATAATAAATATAATATACTAGAGCCAAATGGTTGTTAATGTTGGTCGCACCCTTTCCACTTGTGTTGCATTTTAAGGCAATATAATATAGCCAAATGCATGTTAATGTGTGTTGGGCTCTTTCCAGTTGTGTTGCATTTTCTATAATATAATCTAATAGGAGCCAAATGCACGTTGATGCATGTTGCACCCTTTCAGGTTGGGTTGCATTTTTATATAATATAATGATAGAGTCAAACGTATGTTGATGCATGTTGCACCCTTTCCATTTGTGTTGCATTTTCTATAACACAATAACTGAGCCAAATGCAGGTTGATGCATGTAGCACCCTTTCAGGTTGGGTTGCATTTTTATATAATATAATAATAAAGCCAAAATGCATGTTGATGTGTGTTGCACCCTTTCCTTTTGTGTTGTGATTTCAATTTCAGAGCCCCTGGTGCTACGCATTTTTAACAGCATTGTGAACATTAATCTCTTTTTCCCAAATGGCTTTTGATTTACGGGTGAGGATTTGCGATAATGGAGCCAAACTGAAGGCCCTGATGCGCCAGGCCTGCATCCAACCTCTGGGACTCACCAAATTGCGAAAAGCTTTCAGGATGTATTTAAACGGCTACGCAAACTGAAAGCTTTCAACCAAATGCATCTCTTCCTGGGATGGCAAAGAAGGGAGCGGCCCTCCTAGGAAAAGTGATACGGCTTTCAATGATGGAGAAAACACATATATTGACTTGGGTGTCTTTGAAAATGCGTATGTATGTATGTATGTATGTATGTATGTATGTATATCATCCCGGGGCTGGGATGAGAGACCACAGTGTTGGGGGGCGGGGGGAGATGCCAGGCATATTTTTAATATATATGTGTTTGTGTGAGTGTGAATGTGTATGTATGTATGTATATATATATGTGTGTTTGTGTGTGTGTATGTATATATGTGTATGTATGTATGTATATATATATGTGTGT